AATTGGAGTAAGGTACGTTCACACAAGAAATCATGGAATTAAAGTTCGTGAGGCGCGAATTGCAAGGTTTACGAAACCAAATTAAAAGTCATGAGAGATCTTTTGAGTTTTTTTTCAAGTTACATTCATTAATTAAAACTCGAAGAAGTATGTTAGTTAATATTTGAATCAAATCCACTTCAAAAATATATTTTGCATAAGTTAACCTCCAAATTTTGGCAAGAACTAAAGAGAGTATGAAGTTTAATTTTGTTACTTTTGAAAGCTTTGATTTGTACAAGCCACAAGTTCCTCAAAGATTCATTGATGTTCAAGTTTACAAAGTACAAAGTTTGAATGTACCTATCTCTAATTTCACTACCAATTACAAGTTTTTAATTATAAAAAATGCAAACAAGTTTGAATTACAATATACTCCTAGTTAATAGAAGTTGTTTTAAACTACATGGATTTTCTTTTGAACTTCAAGGTTCGTTGAGCGCTTCAAGCTTTTCCGAGTCTTTCCATATTGTGACCAACTTGTTCCCTCGTCGTCATCATTTGTTCATTAAACAAATAAAAGGAAATTGGTTAGCAAAAGAATGAGCATTGAAATTTAAACAAAAAAAAGCTTTTACAAAAAGAACAAGTTTCTCTTCAAGTATCATCATGAGGGTTTTTGCAATAGGAATCAGTTTAAGGGTGGTTTTCGAATCATGTTCAAGCAACACCAAAGCCTCATAAATAGTTTTGTTTCACAAAATCAGATTCAAATGTTCAATCATGGGCCTAATTCTCTACCGCAAATCACAAAAAGTTTATTTTTTTGTTCACAATAGAAGGAAAAAGAAAGTCATTGCAGTAACAAAGACAAAATCGCATCTCAAGCCCAAGATAACAAAAATTGCAGTAAGATATCAGAAGAATTTCACAACTCAGCAAACGGTTCTCAAGCAAGTCAGAATCGTAAGCCCAAGCCCAGCAAGCAAGCAAATCACTTCAGCGAACATATTCACCAACCAATAATAATAAACAGAATTATCATACCCAAGTACAGTTAAAAAAAAATCACAGTCTGGCAACTACAAAATCACCGGTTTCAGCCTAGGTACAGCTCAGAAAAAATCACAAATCCGAATCACAATTTTAGCCGAAGAAACAAACAAGAAAAGTCAGAAAAATAAACATATCATATTCGCATAGCCCAAAGGGAGAATTCCTCAAGGCCTGTTAATATCCCAGTTCATAAGCAGAAACCCTAATTTAATCTTATGAGTATAAAAGCAATCAATGGGCACCAAAATCAGGGGGGACAGTTCATAAAAAAAATCAATCAAAAGCTATGTGTCTCACAAAACCCAGAAAGCCCTAAGTTATCATCATATTCCTCTTTGTACAAACCCCTTCAGGAAAAAAAAGAAACAGAGGCAATCGTTCACATATACACAGAAACTGTGGCAAGTCAAACCTAAAACAATCATCATTTTCCTAAAACCAAAAACCCTTAGATCAAAAAGAGGAAGAAGAAGAGAGTTTAGAAGAAGATTTGGAGTGATCTCACCCTAAAAGAAGCAAAGGAGGTCGGATCCGAGAGCTAGGGTTTCGATTTCCCCTTTCAAGATCTACGCTAAATCATTCATCTCCTGCAAGATCAAGCATCATATTAGTGAAGAGGAGAACAAGACGGAACAAACGATGAACGAAAATTGATGATCAAAGCCATCCACGACAGCGCCACAATCGATCTTCATCAGATTCGTCGTGGTGCTCATCATCACCACCGCCTTGTTCTTCATGAACCACCATGCCATAACTTATTTTCTTTCTTTTTTCGTTAACTTAAGTGTTCATTGTTGAAAAAATAGAGAGAGAAGATAGAGTAAACGAAAGCGTGAAAAGAAGAGAGAGATATTATGTTAATTATTTATGATTAACATTTTGTTTTCTTTAAATAAATTCTAATCAAAATGCTAATCAGGCGGTGACAATTGTCACCGTCTTTGTGGCCATTTTGCTAATTCTGTGCAGGTGCCTTGTCGGTCATACCATACTGCCTCACGTATCACCATCATTGGATTTTCTTCATTCAGATTCGGCGAATCAGATTTGAATACACACGGTGCTTCCCCTGGAGCGCACCTCACTAGATCCAGTATGACATCCTAGCGCATGTTCTTGTTCCTCGTGGGCCCAACGGATTGCCCTTTGCACCCCCAACATTACTCAATGCAGGCCCATTTTGTTTTCCTTCTCTATAGTTTTTTATTTTTGTTTTGTTGTTTGTTCTGATTTTTATCAAATTAAAAAATACAAAATAAAAAATATATTTTCTTATCCTAAATAAATAATTAAACTAAAAAATGTTATTATTTTTATATTATTAATTATTTTGTTAATTAATTTTATTTAATAGATTATTTTAGTTTAATTAATTGTTTATTTTTTAATTCGATTGGGTTGTATTGATTGTTTATTTAGACTTTTAATAGTATTTTCGATTCGACTCATCCCCATTCGTAAACTTGTACCGCCATTCCCATATGGTTTATAATATTTTAGAACTTTATTTCTTTGCTATTTTCTTTATATGTTTAAAAATTGTTATTATGCATACTTTGTTCAAAGTGGAACACTTGGCCTCCTCTTGGGCTCATCATCAATGAAAAGGTATCCATCTACAAATGCACACTTGCATACATTTCATAGTTTGGTCCTGAGCTTTTCTACAACGACAACTACTCGATCAATTGTTCCAATGGGTCGTTTAGAATACTAGTGTCACGCTAGTTCCACTTTCTATGAGCATGCGTATAGTCACCTTGTATGGGCTTTTGATTTTTATCTTATGTATTGCAGCAACTCTCTTCTCTCCCCTTGGTCCACATACCAAGAATTTTCTTAAAGTATATCATATTTGAGTTTGGGCATGGTTATTCTCACGAGATTAATCAAGTTTTGCCCCTGATTAATCATAACCTGAATCAAACCACTTTGGTCCGTATACGAAGTGTTTCCATGCACAAAGTGTCTCATGGTTGAGGGTATGAGCACCTACTCTCACGAGATTAATCAAGCACACCCCTTGGCTAATCATAACCCTATTCAACTCCCATACACCAAGCATTCTATTTATCTTGTGGATACTCGTGCTATGATTTTCGCGACCAATTGTTGATGCAGCCTGAATATGCCTATTCGACGGTTGACTGTGGAGATTCAAGAAGGTGTTCTATAGAGTTATCTTATCTCATTCACTTTGAAGAGGAAACGGACCTACTCCTTTAGGTACCATAGAGAATTTATTTCCGCATTTTAATGCTTTCTAGAGATCATGTCAAGCAGGAATAGAGATGCACGAAAAAGACCTCCATTGCTGATATTTGTCAGGAATCCCTTTGGTTTATTTAAAGACATGTTTAAGTAAATTCCACATATGTGCCTTGTTTTCTACTCATGTTTGTATGCTTTTGCCAAATCACTTGTTTGCTTTTTTCTTTCTTTCTATACCACACTTCCCTTAGGATCGCTCGTTAGAGTAGCTTTCGAGCTAGACATTAGGATAGATATCCATGCATGCTAACATAGGGTAGAAATTTCCCTTTTCAACTCAACCTTAGGGTCATTCATTGTATGATAACATTACGGCTAGAGATTAAGATAGTATCCCTTAGTTGTTTTCTTTCTTTTGCATTCTTGCATCTTAAAACAAAAACCTTCTTCTTGGAAAATCATAAAATATCTCTAATAAACTTAAATTCTTCTTCAAGGTAAAAAATACAAACCAATATTAATTGTTTGTGCGCCTTTTGGCTTTGTTTTAAACCTTGTCAAGTTGATGATTTTCCATCTTTGCCATGATATTTTATTATCTTTTTGTCGATGTTTCGCCATCGTGCATGTTTGTTATCCTACTTTGATTCTCAATATCATTGTTAGGTGTGATGTTTTATCATCTGAATTGTTGATGTCTCGTCATCTTTGTTATGTTATCTTGCTATCTTTTTTCCGATGTTTCACCATCGCATATGCTTGTTATCCTACTTTGATTATCAATATCATTTTTAGGTGTGATATTTTATCATCTGAATTGTTGATGTCTCGCCATCCTTTCCATGTTATCTTTCTATCTTTTTGCCGATGCTTCACCATCGCATATGTTTGTTATCCTACTTTGATTTTCGATATCATTGTTAGGCATAATGTTTTATCGTCTTGTCTGATATTTTGTTATCATGCAGACGTTTTATCATCTTATCTGAGTTTGTGTTTCCATGTGGTGTCTTATCGCCCTTTTTTTGTTGATTTATCATCGTTGTTGATGTTTTGTCGTTTTATATGATGTTTTTCCATCTTGATTGTCGCTTATGTCTTTTTAACTAAAAAACACAAACCAACCAAAATTTGTGAGTCAAACTACGGCTTCTCTGATTCCTTAAAAGGGATACATAGGTGGAGGCTTTTGTGGGGCCTAATCAAGCATATCTTTGTAAATATTCCTTTCTTTTCCCCACACATTCTTTTCCTTTTCTTTGCATGCATTCCCTTTTCAGCTTTAAGCTTTAGACATAGAATTTATACACCTTTAGATTAGAACAACAAGAGTGGATACCATAGAGTACTACGAGCGTGTGGGATGCTAATACCTTCTCCTGGCGTAACATACTCCCTTACCCGATCTCTCGGTCGAAAGACCGTGATTTCACCCCTTCAGGTTTTCTCGATGTTTACCTTTCCCTTTAGGCGGGATAAAAGACGTTCGATGGTGACTTCATTGATTTTATCATCCAATGATGGTTCGTCCAGTTGTTTCATTGTCATTATTTTTTTTTGCTATTACAAACTTACAATCAACTCGATGCTTGTTCTTGACTAAAATTATGCCATTATTTTTTGTTTTTCTCCTAAATTTGAACTCTTCCTATCCACCACAAAACTTTCTGATAACTTGTGAGTTTCTTCTCCTGGTTCCGTTGATCCAATTTCGAGATTTGAATCTATTAGTTTTTCATTTTTCCGATCTAATGTTTCTGATATCGTGTTCATTTTTGTTTGTTAGGTTGAAGCGCAAGGGCGCTGGTGTTGGAACTAAGCAATCTAAGAGAGCTTTGAAGGATCCTAATAAGCCTAATAAACCTTTGAGTTCTCTCCATTTGAGTTTATTTGTTTTTTGTTTTTCCGATCTAATGTTTCCGATCTCGTGTTCATTTTTGTTTGTTAGGTTGAAGTGCAAGGGCACTGGTGTTGGAACTAAGAAATCGAAGAGAGTCACAAAGGATCCTAACAAGCCTAAGAAACCTCTAAGTGCTTTCTTCATTTTCATGTATGTTTCCATGCTAAAAATCATTCGATTTACTTTGTTTTTGTTGATATCGCTTTAGATTCAGTTTATCTAGTTTTCAAGGTAAATTAGTTTCTGATTTCTATTCTCAGTATTTTGATATGGTTTTAGGTCTGAACTCAGAGATACTTTCAAGAAGGAGAATCCCAACAACAAGCATGTCGCTGTGGTGAGTTTTGTGACGTTAAGTTATTATTCTTGATATAGTTTTAAAATTTGAATTTGAATATTTTTATGCAATTTACTTTGAATTTTGAAAAGGCTGGTAAGGCTGGAGAAAAAGAGTGGAAAGCATTGTCTCATGCTATCGAAGTTAATTTGATTATTGTGATATGTTGGATATTGTTTAGCACACCTTGAAGCCTCCCCTTATCAACTGTTAAAATAGCCGAATCCATAAACTCAATGTCTCTTGCACCACCAAAATTTCTAATTGATGGTTGTAGCGGTAGAAATATTAAGACTAAGCTATTAGATTGACTTAACTCGTACATATCAAATAAAAACCGCCATCGCACTTTATTGTTTCCAAAGGAAATGAGAAAAGAGCGAATAAACTCAAAAAGTAAGAGGGAGAGAATCTAGGTACGGGGGTTGGTTATGCAAAGGGAAGGTATTAGCATCCTAAAAATCTAGGTACTCTGCAGGAACCTCTTTTAAAATCTCTATATTTTTGCTATAAAAGGTATATACAAAAAATAAGATTGGGGAGATGAGAGAAGAAGTGGTTTTGACAATTTTTTCACCTGCTGCAGTTGCGAATTTTTAGTGTCTATGTACCACCTTTCGTGTAATAGGGATCGGGGTACTCGTGGTTCACCTCAAAAATTTTAAAACACATATGTGTTGGTTAATTTTAAGAGAAAAGACATCTCATCATATCTGAGTGTAAAACATACTTACTACCCATAATTATGAGAAAGAAGCATTTACATCATCTCAAAGTGGAGGATATAGTCTTGGATTTAAAAATCAACAAGACATCACTCAATACCCAAGTGGAAAATGGCTCACTTTACTATATATCGTAGAAGTATAGTAGCTTGCATCACTACAAGAATCAATAAGAGTATAATATTTTGAGAAAAGTTTTAAAGTAAAAACCCAAGGTAGAAAAATGGTTTGAGTGATGTTATTAACTTTTAGTCTTGAAAAAATGTCAAAGTATGACTAAATTGATTAAAGGCTTAATTAAGAAAAAAGATTTTGAAAATGCATGGACCTAAGTCCAAGTTTATTATGAAAGCGGTTCAAAGTTTTAAAAATAACAAGAAGATTTTTAAAAATGGGGGAGAAGATTTTGAAATTAAAGAAGATATGAGGAGATGAAGAGGCTATCCAATGTACATAATGTAAAAGTTGAGGAGAAGAACGGTCTAACCAACACTTGACATAAAGAAGTCAATATAGAATTCTCATTTGTTGGATTAAAACCAAGTAAGGATAATACTAAACCTCAGATGAATACCAAGATTTAGATGAATTTAGAACCAAGCAAAGTCTTCATTGATAAAAAATTGTCCAGAGTAACAATTGTATACAGAGGAATTCTCAATCACAGACAAAGCATGAAAATCAGAATAACCCGCACACAGAAATATTTCAAACCAATTCCTTTGGGTTTGACTTCAGAGCAGCTTCACAAAAATATCACAGTAAAGATTATAGAGTTTCAAAGCCACATGGTTTCTAATCCTAAGTCTCTGGAATCCATAACTCCAAAGTTCCAGGGATAGTAATCAGATAGTCCACATAACTTTAACATTTTTTAATGTCCAAGTTGATTATTAAGTAAATTTACAAAAGAAAATAAAGCTCAACTGAGCAAAGATAAACATACATAAAGTAAATACTCAAGTGAGCAAAAGGAAAATAGAATGAGATGTCAATGCTTAAAGGTAAATGACATAAAGTAAATACATAAAATAAATGCATAAAGTAAAAGCATAAAGTAAAGTCAATGGTTAATAGTAAATGTTAGAAGTTAGTGGTTAATAGTTGAAGGTTGAATGATTTTTAGATGAGTGGTCCATAATGATTTGAATATTGAGCCTAGGTCAAAGTTGATGAAGACTCATTAGAGAATTGATAGAATCAAAGTCTCCTAACAACAAGCTTTCAAGATTATTTCCATAGCTCAATATTTAATCATACTTGGGCTTACAAACACAAGGTTTGAACCACTAAGAACCAATCAAATAAAAGATGAAAAAAAGGAGGGATTTAAAATGATATGATCCATAATGGTTTGATTCTTGAACATAGATCAAAGTTAGTGAAGACTCATTAGAAGATTGATAGAATCAAAGCCTCCTAACAATGAGCCATCAAGGTATTTGACCATTGTTCAAAATTTAACCATACTTGGGCTTGAAAAACATAAAGTTTGGGCCACTAAGAACCAATCAATAGGAAGGAAGAAAGGGGATAAGATGAAGGGAAAATGGAAATCACAGTGTAACCAATGTCTCAGATGAATTGAAATTAGGATTTCAAATATCATAGACACCATTCATCCATTTTAGTGGATTTAGTTTTTCAACCTATTAACATCCAAGATCCAATAAGGTTGAGGAACTTGTCCCAAAGTAACACTCAAATGTCTCCAAATCAGAGTCAATCGCAAAAATAATAAAATATAATTAATAAAAATAATATTTAAATGATTAATAAAAAGTAATAATTGGTAAAATACACAAAGTATATTGAAACACCAAAAAAAATCTCAAGAAAATATCAAAGGTCAAACATGAGTCAACAAATATTGAAAAAAAGTTTTAGAATTTATAAAATTCAGGAACTATTTTCAAATATAAAGAAATGAGAAAAAATAAACCAGAATTAGTAAAAAAAATAGTAAAACCAAAAATTAAAATAAAATCAGGTCATCAATATTTGTCAAAAGGTCATTGGATCCTTCCATATTTTTTTCAGAATTTTAAAAGGTCTAACAATATTTTTAAATAATTATAACAAAACAAATAAAGAGAAAAATTATAAAAAATATCAAATCACGAAATAAAATAATGAAAAAATAAAAATCAAAAAGATAATATTCAAAAATATTTTTAGTAATTTTTTCATAATTTTCAAGTTAGAAATGATTTTTTATGAATTTTTGAAGTTTAAAACAAATAAAATAAAAATCAGAAAATAAAATAATAAACCAAAAAGGTCTGGACAATTAGATCAGTGTCAAAATGCGTTAGTAAGAAGATCCAAGGGATCTGACGCGTTGTGCATGATATGGTCTTCATTTAATAACATGCCAAGTCTTTAATAAAAATCAGAAAATAAAAATTAAAACTAAAAGATGTGGACCATTGGATCAATGTCAAAATGCGTTAAGGACCCGACGCGCTATGCATGACATAAAACTTAATGAAAACACACTGGATTCAGTTTAAACCGAGCCATTCAAAATAACACAATTGGCACACTCTAATTGGTTGAGACGAAATATGTCATCGTCTTTAACCTCCATCCTTTAGAAAAACTAGAGAATTCGTGGTTCTTCAAATGGAAAAATTAGGAGCTCAAACCGGTACTAATGGATTCATCTCTTCAAGATGATCACAACCGTACCCTCGCGAAAAATTTATATTAACCATAGCTTATTCATTTTGGAAAAAAATCAGAAGAAAAAGTGAAAATGTGTTTCTAAATTAAATGCTCAAATCGCCATGAAAATGCAAACCAGAAGAAGCATGAGCTTCAGAGAAGAAGAGACTATATCTTCACAATTTATTTGGATTGATTTAGTTGAGAATTCTACCTGAACGAAGTCTAATTGGTTAGCTCTGAAATTGAACATAGCTAGCATGATTTAGGACACTTCAAGGCTTGATTCTTGTTGTGTTTGCTTCAGGTAAGTTCAAGGATAAAGAATGAACAAAGAAATTGGATTAAAAAAAAGCAAACAGTGAATTCGAAAACTCATAAATGTGAGTTATGGAGAGAGTTTTGTAGGGTGATTTTGGTTGTTCATGCTTGGAAAAATGAGTGGAATATGGTATGTATTTACAGGAGAAGTTAATGGAATCAAGAGGAGGGGTGAATGATACAATTCGAGTGAAATCATGCACACCCTGGTCATAAAGAAAGTGTGATTGTATGTGCATCAAAACACATCCACATGATGTGTTTTGACACTCTAAATGATCCAAACATCTCATCCAATCATGTTAAAGTGGAAAAAATGCACAAATTTGATGATTAGAAGTCACATTATGGAAATTACAATCTGACTGCCATGAGAAACTTCAGTTCCAAGGTACCAACTTTGAATCCATGGTGCACACAACTTAGGAGGCTTTATGACATAATTATTGAAGCATTTGAAATACAAGGTTACAATATTTACAATGTTACAAGAAAGACTCCATTTGGATAATTGAGCTGGAAGTTATGTCCTCTTGAAATCGTGAAAAACAAATTGTCTTTTGTACTTAGAAATATTTCTAAGTGTTGAGCTTTAAAATGACCTATAATGTCTTGCAAACTTACAAGGCCTTCCACTCAAAATTTGATCTTGATCCTTGAAGATGAAATGAAGTAGACTCTTCCAATTGAATTTTGGAATTGAGATCATTCAAAAATCATAAAAATTGAAAGAGTTAAGGCCTTTGGAAGATGATGAACAAATTTGAAGAAATCCACAAACGACCTATAATCTGTTCAATTCTTTATAGACTCTCCATATCTTTTCAAGCCTTGCACCTTGAAACAAATTTTTAGTAGACATCCTCAAGTTTATTGTGAAAAAATAATGAGTTCAAGGAAATAAAAGATGACCAAGTTATGATCCTTTGAAGTCACACAAGAGAATTTCATAGCTTTTCCAAAGGACTTGTAATCTTCTTCAAACTTAAATGGTCTTCCATTCAAAATTAGCCTTAGATACTTGAAGAGCAGTTACTAAGGATTCTTCAAAGAGAATCATGGTTTTGGAATCAACCTTAAATCTCAAAAAAATGAGCAAGATATGGTCTTTGGAAGTCAACCCAACCTCACTTAAAGAGTACAAACTAACTTGTAACCCTTTTCAACTTTTGATGACTTTCAAAGCACAAATGGATCTTGAAATGTAAAAAGAAGTTATTTTAGATGATAATAAGAATACATTGCAAAAAGATACGACTCAAAATGTTGAAAATTGAGAGATTTATGCACATGTGATCACTGAATCAAGTACTTGTTCAATTAGGTCAAACTTATCGAATCAACCTTGAATTTTTTAAACTTTAAAAAAAAAATAGAGTATGATGGATCATATTTATACCTTTAAATGATTTTATCTTAAAGCACTCTCAAAGACGAAACTTAAGTATCAATGAAACTCATTGAAGAAGGCATGAAAATAAACACATGAACCTACGAGTCTTCTGGATGAATGTCATTCTCTTTGAAGCAAGCTTGACTTTAAATGAAATTGAGAGATTTATTTAAACCAGAGAATTTTGATGTCATAAACATAGCTTTGAAGCTCAAACTCTTTTACTTCATTGAGCAACCATTTGACTGAGGACTATCCCTCAAAACCATAGGTTCAATGGTGAGATGGGTGCAATTGTGTCATCACCTACCATATCAACATCCAAAGAAACACACACACACACACACATATATATATATATATATATATATATATATATATATATATATATATATATATATATATATATATATATATATATATATATATATATATATATATATATATATATATATATATATATATATATATATATATATATATATATATATATATATATATATATATATATATGTTAGTTAAGGGTTAATCAACATAAGATACACATGTAAAAGATACATAATTCAAGGTGTTTGGTGATCCCTCAAGAGCAAACTTAAAGATAGGAGGAAATGGAAGAGAGAACCAACCCTAATGTTTGATCTTAATGTATTGATGATATGATATGATGAGAGATATTAGAGGAAACAATTGGGGTATCACAATGGTGTCTGATAAGAATTTCTCCATGAGAAAGGGTAAAACAAGGAATTCCCATAAATTGAGTTAAAAGTCTGCCCCATTCTCTCATGAGAAGAAAAACTAGGAGGTGGTGGCCTGCTTGGAATTGAAAATCTAGAGGGTGCTGAAATTTGTGGTTTTGAGTTAGCATAAAGCTTATTGGAAGAAGCAACAAACTGACCGCTACCTAGATTTACAGATTCCTTAATGTTTTGAGTTTGTAATGCATCGTTTTATTTTTTACATTTATTTCAGGAGAAGGCTCCTTATGTTGCTACTGCAGAGAAGAAGAAGGAGTATGAGAAAGCTATACGTGCCTATAACATGTAAATTCTTTGTTTAATTATTGGTCAAAGTTTACTTTTATTTGTGTTATATGTTGTGATTGATTGAAATAAATTTTATGTATTAGGCTGAAGGAAAAGTTGCATCTGAGGAAGAGGGATCTGACAAGTCCAAGTTGAAGTCAATGATGAAGAGGATGACTCCTAATAACAAGTTCGTCGTTATGGTGAGTTTTGTGACGTTAAGTTATTGTTCTTGATATATTTTTTAAATTTGAATTTGAATTTGAGTTTTCTTTTGATGACCTTGATTCCTTTAAAAACTCCTCAAAACGTTCAAGGTTTTATACACCTAATCTTAATCCTCGATGAGGATTTGACAGTGTAAGTGAATAGTGTAATTTTTGTATTTATATTGTTCTCTAATATCATTCCTTGAATCTCATTTTAAATTCGTTAAATTGCAGAGATGATAGGGCTAGGAAGTGATATAGAGCTCCATCAAGCTGGTGTAACTCTTCCATTCACCATATTTGACTAATTGTTTTTTTTATTCATAGTGTTTTACGAGGACATGGTGTGTGCATAATAGAGTACATTAAATAAGATTTTGCTATTAAGCCACCTATATCCTCTTCTTGATTCTCATCGAGGACTGTGGTTTTTATGTTGCATAATATTTGTGACTGATCTATTTGGCTCATAATATAACAGGTTCGAACAACAATAGATATTAACTATGAATTTGGTTGCTTTGGCGCTCATTTGTTGTCACTTAACATTATGGCGGTTTGTGTTACGGGATATGAGGCAACTGGCAACCAAGTTCAATTTTCTCTTGAGAGAGGCCTTCCTGCCGTGATTGGCAACTTCATTGGTATGAACATTCCAAGAACTGGATTTCTTTAAAGGACCATTCTGATTTTCTGTGCTGTCACTTAACAGCTTCGCCAAATCATCCCAGGCATCAAACTCCATGGACAATATATTTGAAACTATACTACCCCCACCATTATCTGTTGTAGCAGAATCATTTCCAATATTAACGGTTTTACTCATTAATTTTCCAATGTGATGATCGTTCCATTCATTATGCAGCAAAGAGCTGGTGTTATCCAATTTATTAGAATATCCATTTAATAATGATTTAGATCCATATAATTTTGGTTCATACCCAACTTCATTCACTACGTCAAAACAAATTTTAGGCAGCACACTTTAGACTGCGCTTCTATACTAAAGCGCTGTTATATGTCCCGATAAAATTTTAAATTTTAAAACTATATACATTAGACAGCGCTTTGGAAAAAAGCGCTGCCTAAAGTTAATAAAAAGCGTTGCCTAACTCACACTTTAGGCAACGATTTATGAAAGCGCTGCCTAAGGTCAATTAAAATTGAAATAAAAAATAAAGGCTTAATGCATCCTTTGGTCCCTTAATTTAATTTCAGGTTTCAATTTCATCTCTTATTTAATAAATATTCGTTTTAAGTCCCTTAAATCATGTTCTGTTAGTCAAATTGGTCCTTTCCGTTAAATTTTATCAAAATCTGTTAAGTTGACTAGATGTGTGTGATGCAGTGGCAGAACTGACTGCTTATACTGGTTTGTATTTTTTATTTGCAAATGTTGCGGTAAGCAAGAGTCGCCACCGGATTTTCTTTTATCCAACAAAAGGAAAGGGTGAAAAGAACATAAAAAGACCTTTTTCGAGATTTTTTTAGTAAGGGGGTAGATTATGGAAAGGGAAGGTGTTAGCACCCTTTCCATCAGTGGTTTTCCACTGGCTCTTAGATACTTGCTCATTTTAGAAAATTTCTTTCGTGTTTGTGTATTTTGAAAAGGTTTTTGTTTGCTTTATGATAACTCTTGTATCAGTTCTCAAGAGTGTGATAAAGTGTTTTTTGAAAGTAATGTGTAAAAATGAATTAAATTTGAGCAAGTACTTAAGAACTATCTACCTACTCGAAAAAAGGGCATTCTTTTCCTCCTTTCCTTTAGATAGTTCTATCCTACTATTAGTGAGTAGGTAGCCCTATTGTTGAATGTTGAGGGACTATCGTAAGGGACGTTTATGGTCATTTAAGGCAACATGTAGAGATACCTTAACATTTCTAAGGGACTGTCATTGTATATTCGTAGGCAACATCGAGGGACAAGATCATTTCTTGTAGGAAACTCGAGGGACATTGAGGGACTATGATCTTTATGATGACTTTAAACTGAGGGTCTTTTCTAAGAGTATCCCTATGTTCGAGGGACATGACCATTTCCAAAGGCAACCAAAGTGGGAGATACCCTAGGGGTGCAAGTGTGCAATAGTGTGCTTTTTTCAGATATATTATCTTGATGTTAGTGATCTAAGAATGATTATTTAGTTCTTGCCATACACGCTTAATTTACTAGCAGTTTATATACAAGCATATAATATAGTGCAGAAAGTAAAACCTACAGCTATTACAAGGCTTCGGGGGTAATTACAATTATATCTGACTGAAAATGTAAATTGCGGAAAATAAAACCCTAATTAAGTTATTACAAACCGGGCACAATTACAATAATAAAAAAATATGAAAAGTAAATAAACGCGCGCATGAATTAAATACGTCTAAAATCCTAAGTGAAAGGAATTTTTTTGTTTGTTTTTGTTATGAAAAGAAATTGAATTAAAAATCCCAAGTCTATTCAATTTTAATTTTTTTAAGAAAATATTAAAATAATTAATTAATTAGTTGACAAAATTAATTTAATATAAAAAACTAAGCCTAATGTTTTTGTGTTTTTTTAATGTTAATTAAAGCTTAGAAGAAGTAAGGATAAACAATCAAAAGAAAGAATGAAATCGAAAGACAAAAAAAGTAAATGAAAAAAAGTGCGTTCTTGGAAGTAAGGCCTGGATCGAAGAGGCTTGGGTTGCCTTTCGATCCAATGAAGGATCTTGATCGAAGGAGCCTTAGAGACTGCACGCCTGGGGGTGTTTGATTTGGATGTGTTATCCTTCGATCTGGGATATTGGATCTGCAAGGAAATTTGTTAGAAATTGAAAATGCAAGGCATGGGATTCGAACCCTGGTCCCTTCGATCGCATGAATTCCCTTTCACCACCTGAGCTGCTTGCTCATTCGAAATACATGACACCTGTTTTTGGTCCTACAAATTAGTTAGTTCGAAACTAAAAAAAACATAAAACATCCCATTCGAAATCAATCCCTGAACCCGGATCTGGGTTTGTTTCGGTTTGCCATAACCGATATCATGGGTTTCAAAGGTAACCAGCTTCGAAAAACTCTATCCATGGTGTTCGAACGTATGGACACTGCAACTTGCATATATTTTGTTAAATCGCTCACAAATAACAACAAAAACTATGAACATGTAATCATGAGTCTAATTTAAGATTAAGTGGGATTGAACATATTTACCATTGGAGTCGCCTGGATCTGTAGTCCTGGGTGTGAGATGGTTGGGGCACGAACGAGTGTACGTCTGTGTGAACTTGAAGAACATGATCAGAGTGTTAATCTGGATGGAAGGTTCCTGCAATGGAGTTTTGACAACTTTGGAATTTGATGCTATTTTCTGGACCTTCGTGGGGCAGGCTACGTTTTTTGCGAAGCAATATATGTGTGTCTCCGTCCTTTTTTTCTCTGAGATCATGAGGTTTATATAGACAAGGGATTTTAGGTCAACATTTATGTATCAAATCTTGGTCCATTATGATGAAGAGATTTGATTTGATTTCTTCATAAAAACTTGCTATATTTGATTCAATCAGGTGCCAATCTATTTTCATGCGTTACTGCCAGCCTGTTATGAGTTGTTTAGGCCTCAAATATGATGGAAATCGAAAGCTGACATGCCCCTGCAGATCTATTTCCCTTTGAATTTGTTCTCTTTGAAGGCTCTGAACTCTAATTCGAATTGCACCAGCTTCGATGTCATGGCCCCTTCGATTGATCCACCCTCTGCTTCAATTGCTTGATTTGAAGAGAATCACCCTGGTCAAATCATCTCTTGTGGAGTTAGGAACAAACAAGGCAAGAATCTGGACTTTAACTCAGGAATTGAATCCATGACCAACATTGAATTCTTGCCATATTTGCAAGGAGAACATGCCATTTTGAACTTTGGGTGAACCTGGACAGGTTAGGATAGGTGTTTTGTTTGAATTTAATTTAAGGCTTTCATTATGGTTCCTTCGATTAAGTCTCAAGTTTTGCTCTCTTCGATGGCTTTGAACTTGGTATAATTGAAGTGTTATCTTATTGACTAATCGAAGTGTTTTTCTACACTCATTGATGGCTCTAAGTCCCGATTCGAATTTCCCAGAACTTCCCTCATTAGAAAATTTGTTTTCCTTCGAAGGCTCTGAATTCAAATTGCACCAACTTCGTTATCACGGCTCCTTCGATTAAATCTTAAGCCTTGCTCCCTTTGATGGATCTGCATCTTGATTCGAATTGCTCATATTCTCAACATCAGAGCTTCTACGTTTGAACCATAGCCTGCAGAAAGGCTCAGAGTTATCCTCTCCAATCTGCATGAATTCGAATGCCCATCATCAGAGCTTCTGGAACCCTTTCAGTTCTTTCTCTTTTTTATCTCATTTTCTCTAACTTGGACAATCAGAATACCGCCCTGTTGATATGCCAATCGAAACATCACTTGGTTAACATGCATGTCGAAAGGCACTTTGTACGCTCTAATGAAAAACAATCTTATTTAAGATGCCCGTCGAAGCTTCCTTGTTGTAAATGCCCATCGAAAGGCCCTATACCAATCGAAGGACCTTTTGCAGATGCCAATCGAAGGACCTTTTGCATATGCCAATCGAAGGACCTTTTGCAGATGCCAATCGAAGGACCTTTTGCATATGCCAATCGAAGGGCACTTTGTAGATGCAAATCGAAGGATACTTAACCATCATTCAACAAATTTCCTTTTCTTTATGCAAAGGTTTATAACCACCTATGCAAGAGGAAATCTTGGAAAAATATGAGAGGGTAAATTTTAGGGTACAACAATGTGGCACTCAAATTGATAATAACTTAGCTAACTTGGAATTATTTTTAATTAAATATTTTATTATAATGTATGTAGCAATCTTGTTCTCTCCTATAAAAAATAACCCTAGCTGCAACACACCACTCTCTTATCCATTTCTCTGTTTCTCTCTTCCC